ACAAGACCACCAAGCCACGCCTACCCAGCTGGTCATTAGGGCAGAGGCCCGGTTGTTAAATTATTTGAATTCCACCACTGCTTCAAGGGTACCCCTCATTGTAATAATCCAAGCTGGAGGTGACTAAGACATAAAGAATAAATATCATAAGTCCCCAATGTTTGATAACTGATGGTAGACTACTCCTGCACATGGAATTTCAGTTTTGCTGTATTTGCTAAAGCCAGTTGATAGATGTTGAAGAATTTGAGAGGATCCCAGATGAATCAAATCGACACCATTTATATCTAGACTATATTCAATGCCACAACTGTTTCTTTTAATCAAATATGTTTCAGCAGTTACTTTTATAAAATGGAAATAACCCAGTCCCTTCAACTTCATTTACAATCCCAAGCCTTGCCTAGGGAATTCTGGGAGTTGAATTCCATATATCACAAAGTCGCTGAGATTGACAAATGCTGGATTAGATAGATTAGAACCGTGATGGAGAACCTATGGCACGCATGCCACAGGTGGAACGCGGAGCCTTCTCTGCGGGCATGCGAGCCGTCGCCCAGCTCAGGAGGCATGCACGCCCTCTGCTGGCCAGCTGATTTTTAGGTGTCTGCCACGCATGCATGGGGGGAGCAGGGGTGCACCCCCGCACCCAGTTTTTGGTTCCAGGAGGCTTCAGGGAGGCCTGTTAGGCCCCAAACCCCTGCGCCCAGTTTTTGATCCAAGGAGACTGCAGGGAGGCCTGCTAGGCCCACAACAGGGTGTGGGGGGTCGCACACATGCGTGTGGGGGGGGGGGAAAGTGGTGCATTGCATTATGGGTGTGGGCACGTGTGCGCAATTTCGGCACACGAGGAGGAAAAGGTTAGCCATCACTGGATTAGAACGTCCTTTCCAAGCTGATTCCATGCATTCCTTAAAGCTTTGTGAGTGGAATATTTGTTATGTAGTCATAAAAAAAACACTAAACTAAATTAAATTAGGACAAAATGCTGACTGCTGGCTAGAGATTCTGAGAAGTAGTCTGAACACATCTGAATACCAGGTAGGAGAAAAGCTGCTTGAGAGGCTAAATTTCACAAATATGAAGCCTCTATTAGTGTCGCCCCCGCGCATTGCCATCAACACTTCCCTGTTCTTTCAAAACATGACATTCCTTTGTTCTCCCTCATCTTCATTTTAATTCCTTCTCCACTTCTTCGTACTTCCGTCCCTTGCCAAGTTCCAGCTTGGCTCGTTGGCACCTGCGGTGGCTGTCTGAGGAGGGGGTTCTTTTGAACGGCGGAGCTTGCTGTAAGAAGGAATCAGTTTTCCTAAAACGAGACATGATGTCATCTTCAGACACGTTTTGCTGTGTCTATAGAGTGTGGTAGCCTGAAACCTGCTTTCACCATCAAGGGAAGGAATTTCTTCTGTGGAAGAACAAACAGGCAGATGAGACATGAATGGGAATAAACTTCTCCTCCCCTAAATGTCCTAATTTCTTTCCACTGACAATGGTATAATCAGAACTTAATTTAATTTAAGTTAAATTAATGGAACAAGAAATGTGATATTCATCGGCACAAAACATTGGTCTGTTTTTAAACAAGCTGGCCAGGGAATTCTGGGAGTTGAAGTCCACACATCTGGAAGTGGTCAAGAGTGAGAAACTGTTCTGAAAGAGGCTTCCCGAGAGCATGAAGCAAACTCCTTGTCCCGACAAAAACCCTTTTATTAATTTACTGTGAATTCTGCTCATTCACATCCAGCAAAGTCTTTCAAAGGAGGATTTACAGTCATAGACCTTATCTGGCTTGGAGAGCTGACAGACCGATATCGGCAAAACTTGCCTAGGAGTCTCCGATGAACCAATTAAGAGAACTGTCTCCTGCAAACTCCACTCCCCTTT